GCACCTTTTAAAACCTGAAATAAATATGAGCATTATTTTCCTTAGAGAAATTAAGCATGAAAGGGCAGGAGTTTTAGCTGTGGAATTTAGGAAACTTAGAGGGTCACACAGGAGTAAAAGATGAAGAGAGTTATAAGCACAGGGCCGACAGAGAGAAAATTCACACAGATGTTAATCACTTTGGTCTTTTGAATAATTAGGTGTGAAGAATTTAAGGCAGTTAGTTTAGACATTATTACTCTTGAAACCTAGTGTAGACATGTTAATATGCAACTTGACATTAAAAATATACCAGCTCATAATAAACTAAAAAAAATAAACCTTTGTGACCAAAGTCACAAAAATGGTGCAAGGAAAACACTGGCTAGAAGAAGAAACAGAGCAAGTGATTAGACATTTAATTTTATGTCATATCTATATCAATGTAGAATTCTTAGTCAATAAAACTATCCTTCAAAATCAAATTGAATAAAAACCTTTTCAAGTAAGTGAAAACTGACAGAATTAGCCACCAACAGCTGCTCACAAAAAGAATGTAAAAGGATTTTCTTCGAGCAGAATAAAAACAATCCCATATAGAAGGTCCGAGATTCAAGGAGAAAGGAAAGAAACATGCAAATATGTGAGTAAATCTAAAGACTATTGAGTGTTTAAATAATATTAACATATTAGTATCTTTAAACACACACACACATGCAAACATTCAGATACACACACACAATTAAAATGCTCAACAGGAAAATTGCATAAGTAAAGAGAAATAAATGGAGTTAGAATATAAGACTATTTTATGGTCCAGGCAAATACAAAATCTCTCTATGCATATTATACCTCGATAATTCAAGGATTCATTCTGTACCATCTGGGGTAACAAGTAAAAGAATGTGTAACCACCAAACAAATAAAGGGAGTGGGATGGAATGGAATAATAAAAATGTCTTCCCCAAAGAGGCACAAAATGAGATTAAAAAAAGAGAGAGAGAGAGGCTAAGGAACAGGAGGTACAAACAGAATAGTAAATAATAAAATGTAGAAATAAACACAAATATATTGTAATGATATTAAGTCGAAATAGAATAAGGGTTCAAATGTAAAGATAATAATTTTCAGGCTAAAAAAATACTGCTTATCCAAAAAGATATACATGTAAGAATACAGAGAGAGGGCCGGCCCCATGGCCGAGTGGTTAAGTTTGTGCCCCACTTCCACAGCCCAGGGTTTTGCCAGTTCGGATCCTGGGCGCTGACATGGCACTGCTCGTCAGGCCATGCTGAGGCGGTGTCCCACATAGCACAACCAGAGGCACCCACAGCTAGAATATACAACTATGTACTGCGGGGCTTTGGGGAGAAGAAGAAGAAGATTGGCAACAGATGTTAGCTCAGGTGCCAATCTTTAGAAAAGAAAAAAAAGAATACAGAAAGCTTGGAATAAAAAGATGGAAATAGATATACCATCAAACACTAATCAAAAGGACCCTAATAAAAGAAAGCTACCGTGGGTTATAACAGAAAATATACACTTTTTATAAAGAACAAACATTTCATAATGATGAGAGTATTGTCATTGAGCACAGCAGAATTTAATTAGAAATCAAAATCATAATCATGAAAAGAAAATCTCCATAAATGTGGACATTAAGCCATAATCTCCAATAATCCATGGTTTAAAATAATAATTAGAAACTCGTTTGAGCTGAATAATAGTTAAAATATTACTTATCGCAACTTTCAAGATACACCCAAAATTATGTGTAGAGGGAAATTAATAGTGTTAAAATCATATATTAGAAAAGAAAAATGCTACAGATCAATGCCAAGGAATATAGTTCAATAATTTTATAAAAAGAACAACACATTAAATGTAAGGAAATTAGCAGAAGGAAATATAAAACTAATATCAGATATTAAAGAAATAGAAAAAACATAATATAGAGTATCAGTATTAAGAAATTCAAAAGTTGCTTTTCAAAAGACAAAAGTTCATAAACTCTTGGCATGATAAATTAAAAAGAGAAGAAAGCCAAAAATAAGAGTTAAGAATCAAGGAAAGAACATCATGACAGTTTCTAAAGACTTTAAAATATCATAGAAAGATATTGTGAGCAACTTTATAAAATATCTTTTAAAATGCAGATCATATGGACAAATTCCCAGAAAAAAATCTCAAAAGTGATGCAAGGGAAAATAAAGTCTAGGAAGGTATATAACTTTGAAAAATTATTCCACGATGAAAAACTTTTCTCTAAGGATCCATGACTAAACGGCTTCTCTTGTGAATTCTACAAAATTTTTAAGGAAGAAATCATGACAATATTAAAAACTTCTTCCAGAGAATATAAAAAAGAGATAATCACGTCCCTGTTCATTCCATTAATTCCAATAATATCAAAGAAAATATAGAAATATTAAAAAGTTATTACATCATCATCAAGTGTTTTTATTCCAGGAATGAGATGATTATTCAGCACAAGAAAATCAAACCATGTAATTTACCACAGTGTCCACGGGCAAGTTACTTCCCCTTTCAAAAAGTTTAACTGTCCTTATTTAAAGTTTCACTTTCCTCATCTATAAAATCAAGACCATAATAACTCATATATCATATGATTTTTATGAGGATTAAATAATTAATGCACATAAAGTGCTTAGCACAACGCACACAGTAAATACCCAACAAATCTTAGCTAACAGATGGGAAAATTTACTGTGTAAAGGTCATTTTTTGGACTTCCTTGCTTCTTCCATAGAATTCAGTATGACAAAATAGACTTAGGACTCAATATATACATATTTATTTCATATTTTTTACTGATTTGGGGGAAAAGTTTTATAAAATTTCTTACTTTATATCCGTGTAGTATCTCAGGATTAAGTAAAGGAATTCAAACTAAATTAAGTGATTTTTCAAAGTTACAGTTAGATACTTTATCATTTATATTCATAAATCATATATTTTATTGTTTAGTAATCGAAATGTCTTTATCTCTAGCTAACTTTTATGTAAAACAGGTCTAGATGAATTGTATCTTTTAGTTTAACTCAAATTAAAATTATTTCTTATATTAAATATGTATTATGCATAAATTAATATGGCTGCTTTTAGAAATTTCTAATTTAGATTTTTCTCTGAGGAAAGCTTGCCTTCCTCCCATTTTCTACTTAAAATGAATGAAAGCATCCTTTCCAAGTCTTCTCACTAAGCACTGAAAACTAATTAGCACATCTAGTGGTGATGCTTTTGTTGATTCTGTTATTCTCAGTGCTGACTGCTGGAGTAATAAAGTCTTTACTTGGATCTAGCATCTAAAAAATATTTGCTATGTCTGATTAGCTGACTTATGAATTTCAAATGTAATTATCTATAGATATTTACTAGAATTTTGAAGAAAGAAGACTATGTTATACCAAATGATTGGCCCTGGAAACAGGCATATAAATTGAATTCTAATTACAGAAATGACAAATTTGAGTTGGCTTATTTACTTAGTCACAGTATAATCCATTTGAGATGTGAAGCAGCATATAAAAATAGATACAAAACCTGAGGGTAATATAAATAATTGAAAGAATCATGGAGACAAAAGAAAATAATAAGACTGAGTCAGATAAATATAAATGGTCCTCTATTTCTGCTGGAAACTGGCCAAAAATTTGACTCTCGTTTTTTTAAGCTCCAGTAAGCCGCTTATACAAAATCAATAGCAAGGTTCGGAGAGTACATGAAACTAAGGAGGATTTATTTCCTAAGTCCCAATAAAGGGGATATTGGGTGACATCGTGGTCATCACTATAAAAGGTACAATAATTTCTGTTTTTCTTTCTGTGTTCCTCAATCCAAAACCAAGGACAAAGCTGAAGCATAATTGCACAAAAGCAAGTCCATGAAATCTAAAACAATATAGTTCAAATGGGCAGCTCTCTGATTTCCTTTTTCCATGAAAAAATATTAGTAATCTAGATAAAAAGATGGGTTGCATGTTTTTAAGATAGTTCTCCATAAAGATTTTTAGTCCAAATCAAATTTATGATTAAAAAATAGAGTTTAAGGTTTTATTTTCTACTAGAATCTAGAGTGAAGATACTATATGTTGTCAATAATGGCCTCTATATGCTTTGACAATTAATTGGGCAGAGTGAATTCATTATTTACTGTCTTACTTGTTAACATTAATTCACATAATTATTATAGGAAAACAGAACATTAAGGCATTAGGATAATTGCATCTGTGAAAGCTAGAAAGAACTAGAAACTTTCAGTGACAGGAAAATAAGTGTACCCTAGGATAATAAACAAATTAACCTGGCTCAAAATAAGACATAGACAAGAAAAAACCATTTGATGGAGTTTTGAAATATCATAGGATACCATATGAATAAAGCTTGACTAAAAACTCCTATTTATATTTTATGAAGAATGGATAGCTAATTTCATAATGAATTTCTTTGACTGTGAAGAAAAATATATATATTGTCATTCATATGGACCTAGAAAAACCAAGAACTTGTAAAATACATTTTTAACTTTAAAGAAAAAGACTTCAGTCTTTGCAAGTGTCCAGATTTACAATTTACATTGTCTAATGCTAGAAAGAAAAATGTGCAAATAAGATAACCAAATAATTTATTATCCAAATCGGAACACTTTTGAGAGTGAATTAATTCACCACTAATAAGAAAGCTGGAAAATTAGGCACAGACCCAGGCTGAGCTGGGCAAAGTGGAATGCAGTAAATTTATAAATGTCCCTCAAAGGCACAAACTCAAGGCAGAACAATTACTCTTCCCCCAAAATCAACTCCTCTCTTCGAGCTGCTTAATCAGAAGATGGCCAACCCTCTTATCTTTAACTAAAAATAGGTCAATATTAAATTTTAAAAATCGTGTTCTCCACTGTGAGTCACTGATACTGAATGCGGACCCTCCTGTCTCCTCAGAGAGAAAGGACACACGCTTCCTGATGACGAAAGTACCAATTTATCGCCCAGCGTTTTACCTTACCTGAGCTATGTTTGTTGCATTACAGACTCGCGCGTCCTTCTCGTGATCCTTTATTTTCTGCAATGTTTGCCAGATTACATTTCTAAGTCCATCCTGTTCCTCATCTCCCCGAAGTTCCCGCAACATTTTCACCAAGTTGTACACTAAACCGTAGTATCCAGTCCATATCACTTGACAACCTGTTTAAAAAGACAATCATCTTATTAAGGCACGGTTTTTTGAAAAAGAAGAAACTTAATTCTACTACTATTTTAAAGTCTGAAATCCCGAGTTCTGGGAATTAGTTTTTTTACTCCTCATTGCTTTTACTCCTTTAATTTGAAAAGACCACAGATCATTTGAAAATTTCGAACTGTAGAAAAGATGAGCTGCACCTAGCTAATATCATAACTTGTAAATTTAAAAGTTAAACAGGAAAACTGCGAACTAGGTACTAAACACAAATCTCAAATTTAAGGACAGAGGTATCACTTCAAGGCACTATGAACATTTAGACCACGATGGTGAATTTTTACAATAAATCAGAGAAACAGAAGAAAAATCACTGGCTGTTATAAAACTGACCAAACTCTATGAAACGTGGCATTTGAACCAAAAAGCAAACTTTGAACATAATGTGAAAAGCAGATAAAAATTGCTGACGTAATTATAGGCTGGAAGATTTTTTTAAACAATAGAGACATAAATCAATTGAGTAGGGGAAAGGGAGTAATGAATCCAGAAAAGATTTTTAAAAATCTAAGACACTGCTCCTTCTAAAACTTATATACCAATTCGAAATTTATATAAATTATCAACTTCTACTTTCAAAATATGCATTTCCCTCACAGAAAGGAGGAAGAAGTTTCTCTTTACTCTTCATCTTAATTATTTCTTACCTAGCTGGTATATTGCCATGCAATAACTGCTCAGGAAAAGAGAATTCTCACTCAGGTAGTGATGGAACAAATAAATTTAAAGAATGAAATAACAGAGAGATCTCAAAGAGGATATGAACTTCAGTTAGGCAAAGAACTACGTGAGAGTACTGAGCATATGTGAAGCAAGTAAGAAGAGCTAGAGGAAAAAATGGGTTAGAAAGGGAGATGGAAGGATTTTAAAGCCAAAAACATTCTATATTGTACTTTTCCCCCAAAATCCTGGTGATAACTTATGTGACATTGGAACTCATGAATGCTCTTTTTGAATAAAAATATAAGCACAATCTGAAAAGTTATAATCTTCAATTTTTTCTCATTCAATCTAGTTTTTTATGATCCAGGCTAATAATAATCATTACTATTATAACTAGGATACTTGGCAGTACCTACCATGCATCCTTATTCTAGTCCTCCCTACAATCCTGCTATGTAGACTGATTTATATTGAAAATAATAGAAGGGGCCTATGAGCTTCAACCTGGTAAGAAAGTTCTCCAGCAGCATGTAGCTGATGAGCGACGAAGCCAGGTGAATGCTGGTCTGATCTTATCCGAGGCAGCCGAGACACTCCAATTCAGACATGTGCTTTTCCTTCCAACCCTCACCTGCTATTCCATTCATAAGAAAGGAATAGGCTAGAAGGTAGGAGGAGGAGGCAGAAGAGAAATGTACACATTTTAGAAATAGAAGGAAGAAGGCATATGTCCAGCTCCCAAACTTAAGGCACCTTCCACCCTTTCTATTGTTGATTCTTTAGAAGAGAAAGTATAAGCTGAAAATATGAGGCTACAGAGAAGCAGCCAATTCTTTTAAAAATATGATTTTCCCCTTACAAAAACTTTGCTAGTTAAAACTGGTGTACTGCAATATTTGAACTTATATATAGGGAGGGATGTCAGCAAGATGGTGGAATAGGAAGTACCCAGTCCTCTGCCCCCTAACAGAAACAACAATTTGGCAGCCATCCATGAACAAAAGTGCCTTTGCGGGGACCTTGAGATCCAGGTAGGAGGTTGTGAAACCTCAGTGGAATCCAAGACTGAGGAGGGCCACTTTGAGAAGGCAGGCTTGGACCCAGGTGGCAGGCCTGTTGACAGCGATGTGGTCCCAGCAACGGACCTAAAAGCACTCCTGTCCCCCTGTGAACTCAGCTCCAGTCCTGCTTGTCTACAGTCCTGCCACCAGCCCCACCCACCAAAGGACCCAGGAAAACCTCTTCCTGTTGGTGCCCTCAGTGACAGGCCTACTGACAGTGAACCTGACTGTGGACCCTGAAGCAGTTCTATAACCTGGCTCCAGCCTAACCCTATCATGGTCCAGAGGAAGCTTGGCTCACCCAGGACCCACCCATGGACCTGGCATGAGTGCTCAGGAAGCTGGTGGGAGCCAAATCAATTTGCATCTCTCGATTTGCAGGACCAAAATCTGAAGACCCAGAAGTGGTCCCATGACCAGGCTCCAGCCCTGCTCAACTATGGTCCCATCTGCTCAGAGACCCGGCGCCTACTCATGCCCCAGTAACAGGCCTGCTGACTCCCAGCAGAGAGGTAGCCATAAGAAGAGAGAAGGTAGAGGATAATAGTGAGGATCTCAAATTGAGCTGAGGTGGAGAGCTCATGTTAGAAATGGATGAGGTAAAATAAAGACAATGGGGTCAGATTAAATAGTAGAAGTTTGAACAAAAGAGTAGTGTTGTATTTGTTCAATGAAAGGTTATGTCTATTCAAGCAATAAACTGGGAAAGCAATACAGGAGTTTTATGAGGTAACCCAGGTCTTTCCTGTGATGGCTACGGGAGGTTGGAGAGTAAAGGACAAACATAAGGCATGGTGGAGAAGATCGAAAACGACTTCGTAGCTGTGGAGGAGGAGGAGGGAAGGAAGTGGAAAGGAGACACACGTTTTCAAGCTCAGGAAACTGAAACAATAATGGAATCACCGGCAGAAATGAGATTATGTAGAAAAGCTGGAGTGGGGAGAAAGAAGATAAATATTATTTGGAAAATGTGGCACTGGGGGAGTATCTAATTTTCAGTGTCCTGTAGCTTGTTGTAAAAATATACCTAAAATTCAAGTAAAATAGAAGTGAAATTATTGATTTGGGAGTCATTAGCAGAAAAATAAGGCTTGAATTCAATATGAGTACAGAAACGGTTATGAGCTTTTAAATTAATAATTCTGGAATTGTGAACTTCAGAAATAAAAAAGTAGTTTTTGAACAATATGATAAATGAAACAAACTGTAGATTGTAACTCATTTATAAATTTTTTTGCAGACTCCCAAATTCTTTACAGTAAAAAGAATGATTGATAAAAGTACACACAAATGACCTTCCTTCATATATTTTAAATTACTGTTTACTAAGGAACAGTATTTTATAAGCCTACAATAGTTGAATCACCAAACTGAATATGGTTTGCTCTTAAAATCCACAAGACAAGTGATGAACCATGAAATATATTCTGATAACTGTGTAGTAAAAACTCACAAACCTTTTAAAATGCCATTGATGATTTTTAAAATGAGTGTTCATCTGCTGATTTAAACTACAGTGAAGTAATACTTACAAATAATATTTGTAGGGAGAATCTATTACATCCAATTGACTGACAGTTAATGAAGGAAAAAACCCTGATAAAGACACACTGGATGTGTTACAACTATCAGAAAAGGCAGAATGCATTCTAATATGCAAGTCTAGACATTTGCTGAGGAGCATGCCTGCTATGAAACTCCTCATCCAGGGATCAAGCTGAAGCATAAGGCAATCTTCTGTTCTGCTTTGAGTGACCTGTGGCAGCTATCAAAGATGTTACTTTAACTGTACTTAGAGAAAATGTGTCTCCGCAGCTAAGCAGGCAGTATCCTACAAAATAACAAAGCTGAAGCAAAACAAAATTCTTAATGAATCTTGAAAATTTATTAAGAAATCATGGCATTTGAAAACCAGTATTATGATCCTGTCTTTGTAGCAATACTTTATTTTAGTGTTTGAATTCCTTGGAAGACTTTAATTGTCAGTCTAGATATTTAGATTTCATACATTCAGTGAATGTGAAATATGAATATTTCTACTTCTATGAATGAGTATAAATGAGTACAGCCTTTACAATTTTGACAAATATAATTTGACACCACAGAATAAAAAGTATCACCAGAAGGCAACTCAAATGTAAGATGTAGTTTAAAACACTGTCTTTATGAAATGCCAAGTAGAGTGGAAGGAAATAGATCAATGCCAAGAAACCAACGGACAAGAACCAGTCAACCAGCCAGGCATTTAGCAAATATTTACTGAGTCAGTGCTATGTGCCAAGCACTGTTCTAAGTACCAAAGAAAAAGTTACTGCTCTCAGGACACTTAATTCTAGTGGAGAAAGACAGATACTAAAAAGGTAAACTGAACACTATCAGTTCATAATGAGAGTTACGAAAATAACAGAAGATGGTAATGTGACCAACAATGACTAGGAGAAGAAAACTACTATGGACAGAGTAAGACAAAGACCTCCATGAGGACATGGTATTCAAGCTCAGATCTGATGGAGGAAAGGAAAAATGTTAACCATCCAAGGAGCTGGGAAAACGTGTTCCCAGCAGAGAGGATGGAAAATGCAAAGGCTTTGGACCTAGAAGAGTTTAGTAGTTTAGAGAAACAGAAGAAAGGATGGAATGGATGGAACATGAGATACCTGGGGGCCATGGGACAAGATGATGTCAGGCAGGCTTGCCCTTTGCAGAGGCACACTCTGAGTGATTATGGTCAATTTGTAGGCCATGGAAAGGAGTCTGGACTTTATTGTTAGAACAATGAAAAGCTAAGAGAGCATTTCAAATAAAGAAGGGAACTGACCCACTTTATGTTTTAAAAAATCTTTTTGGCTTCTTGGTTGAAAATGGATTCTAGGGAGAGGGAGTACAAGGGGAACAGGGAGACTTTTAGCTTTCACATTAATCTAGAAGCAAAGTGATGATTGCTTGGAGCTGGGAGGTATGCAGTAAAGAATTAACCATAAGCAAAGAGAGGGCTGGCCTTTGCTCTCAGCTTCTGGGAGGTGACTTCTCAGGCCTTGGAAGGTCCTGTCTGATAAGAATATCTTTGTTTACTTGGAAGCTTTAGGCCATGGTACCAACTTGGCCGCTGGAAGGTCTGGAGACTGGGATCAGTCATGTGTGTGTGACTTAACCCCAATAAAGATTATGGATACCAAAGCTTGGTGACCTTCTATAGGTGACAATACTCTATGTATATCGTCAGG